CTTCTCCCCACACTTCATTCCTACTTAGAAAATCTTCAGCAAGCAGGGAAAATAAATATTTCAAACACTGGTGTATAAAATTTAAGCCCAGTCTTTGAAGAACTTAAAATAATGAATAAAAATATTGTAGAAACATTTACCAAATGTAGTGTAATTCTATTATTTCCTCCCAAAGTTGTTATTTTAACCCCAGGAGGCAGTGAAAAATTCTTATTATTTAAAATTCAGAATTTGAAAAATTTCAAGTCTGTAATTTATATAAATTGTGCATTCTTGTGTGTGTGGCAAATTTATTTGTTATGAAAATATTCAATTTAAGTCTAAGTAAATTGATAAGGTAGCGAATATAACTATCATTGCCAAATTTTTCAGTACTCAACTGTATACAAAAATATTCTTTCTTTTTAAATAAGGTGTTTAACTTGACTATTATAATAAACTTGTCTATTAATAAAAATGACTATTAAGATTTTTAACTTGACTATTATAATAAACTTTATACATTTGAAATGTTTTAACTTTGAATTATTTTTTCTTTAATGTTATAAAATCATTTGGAATCTTCCTCCAATTTGTTTTGTATTTATTAATATTACTTATCTAATTTTTCCTCACGTGTTTGCTTTGGTTATTTCTGTACTTATTTAGTCTTAAATTTTATATTTCAAGTTTTTTCATTTCTGCTTTCTATTTACTTTTCCAAATTTTCTTTGTGTGTGTGTGTGTGTGTGCGTGTGCGTGCATGAAAGAGCAATATAATTTCCATAATTTCTAATGGATGTCTTGTGACAATGTCTTAGGAAATATCTTTTTTTCTTTCCCTATACTATAAAGCAAGGTACAGGAGAAACAATCATGTGACTTAGATCAGTACTACTCAAATTGTGGTACATGTCCTGGCACTGGTATACAAATGACAAACTGCCAGTATTCACTTGCCAACAAAAGATGGAAAATTATTTTCAAAATTACAACATCTCTTAGTTCATTTTATTAAAAGTAAAAACAGAATAACTTAAATTTGATCAAATGCTTTCAAAATTCTTTGATTTCTTTTAACATAATTCTGCAAGATTGCCTTTTCAGTCATGAATGTTATCAAGACAAAATACAGAATTACAATGAACATCTCATTTTCAATTGTGTGTGGCATTGTCTCTAAGGTTAGATGATGCAGGTTCAGTTTTCATATTACAAACATGTCTATCTTTTTTTAATGTTTTTAATCTACCTAATAAAATTTGTTATTTTATGATTTATGAACATGTTTTTAACATTTTTGCTATAAGGTTTGCTTATTTTTGTAATTTTTTTTTATTTTATAATGATGTAAAACTTGTTTAAATTTAATGAAATCTTTAAATTTTAATACATTTGGAGAGTTTTCCTTCTCATAGACTGGTTGCCAACCAAAGCTATAGGACCCAATCTGTCCTGTTATCTATCCATAACTATGGGGAGAGATGGTCTCATACATTTTCAAAGAGTATTAGTACGTAAGTGAATGTAATGGACTTGGCTCTCCAATTCTGCAATCCAAGCCACTATCTATTACTCCACCATGATTCTTTTACTTTTGGTTGTCAAAAGTTAAAAATCATTGTTTATATATACTCACCAAAGTTAAACTAGATTAAATCTACACATTATGGTAAATAAAATATGAAATTACCTTTCTTTATTCCTTGGCTAATAGAAGGAAGAAATAATTGCAAAGAATTTAAAGATCACGTGAACTTTATAAATGGAAATTAACAATATATTCTTGAAACCTCAATTTGTTTAGTTTGAAGCAGACATTCCCAAAAGTTGATTTTATAAATCTCTGCAAAAGCATAAAGATAATCCAAAATCTTTTGATAATAACTTTTGTAGTGATATCCATGTCAGATGATATCTTGTTAAATGGAAAACATCTGATCTGTCACAAAAATGGTTTCAGACATTTTTTTTTACTGATGATTATCAGCTAAGTGGACTTCACAGGTACCATGGCAAGCAACCCTGAGAAAGAGGGTCACTGAATGAAGATAATTTACTTTTTTGATTTTTTTTTCTTTTTCTTTTTTTTACACAAAGATGACAAGATAATGTTCTCTATAAGACAGTGGTCACTTCCAGGAGAAAACAGTGAAAGAGAGTGACAAAAAGATCACTTCACAGCAACGCAAAAGGGAAGACACCTGTGTTTACTTCCCACTTACCTACACTTCATTTCTGTCTCATTTGTCTATTGCAGTGGGTTAAAAAACAAATAAGAGTTGCTTACTGCTATGAAAATCTCATGTTTTTATTTCATGGATGACAATCTGGCCAAAGGGTTATTTTTGAGCCAGGAGTGTTTAACTGGAAGAAGCTGCACTCTGAGAATGAACCTGGTGTCTGGTCTGAGCAGCAGTGCTTCACTTTTAAGTTATATCTGCTAGAAAATAAAAAAATTCCCTTACTGGATTATAAAGTCTTTAATGACTGGTTTCTTCCATTATAAGTACACAGTCATGATAAATCTATCAAACGGGCTTTATTCATTATCACGAGAATCATTTTACACCTCAAACTTAACTTAATTAAACATAATGCTCAAAAGTAGTAAATGCTAATTGAAATGAATGCAAGTTAAATTAATACTTGGCAAGATTTGACCCATACAGATGTCAGTATGTTAAAAATGATTCAGATCTAGATTTATATCCAGACATTGTAATTAGTTGTTTTTCTCTTAAAACAGCTTGAAATGTTTTTTATTCATAAGATCACTGGAATTAATTTAGTATTTAAAAAATTTAAGTTTGCGGGGTGCTCCAAAAGTAATGCTTGCTAACTACAACTTACACAAGTGGCACATCTTCATTGGATAGGGCAAATTTCTAACTGCAAAAACATTATTTTTTCACAAGTGATGTTGTTGCCAGAAAAAAGTTATTTACATAGTCCCATCTTTCATTGACCTATATATGGCTTGTTACATGCATTGTTGTTGCCACTATTGAAACTATGCTCATATACACTGTTTGATCTCTATAAATGTTCAGAAGCTATAACTCAATGTCAGTAGATGCAGTTTTTCTACATGAAGGAATTTAATGACAGTTCTCTGTTTTGTACACACTTTCATGTCAGACACCATTTTGTGAGACTGCTGCTCAGTAGTTGCTATCTCTCACAAAACTAAACTATAAGTAACTGGCAATAAGGTTCAACTTCTACACTTTACCACCAGATTAATAGGAGACATTACTTTCAGAACAGCATACTATTAGAAGAAGAAAAAAAAATATCTTGCAGATGCTAAAATATTGTCCACTAATATCTTTATCTTCCAAGATTGCTATCCCACTCCCAGCTGTTTTTCCAATCTTATAATTTGCATTTTATTACTGAGTTACTCTGTCTGACACTGTATAAGATGCATTTTTTTATGTAATCAAATATGCCACTGCATCAAGTGTTGGTTTTATTACAGTTAGGAGACAATCAACAATTAAAGCTACGGAGGTTGTATTGTGAACAATAGTTTAAAAATACATTTGTTAAATGTGTATTACAGATTAGCAAATAAAGTATATACATTGATGGAAATTTTTTCTTTTAATCTTCCATGATATTTTCTTTTTTAGATCATCCATTTAGTACTATTGTTTACTTAATACAAGGCCCAAGAGCTATTCAAGGTAGAGGATTACTAAATGAGGTTGTATGGGCATACAAGAGATTGTAAGAGGTGCATAAAAACCAAATGTATTTTTTTTCTTTCCATGAAAAAAATAATGATTGCATTTTAGAGTTTTTCAGATAAGAGATTATGTAACTATCAGAATTATGTAGTAATGTCTTGAGTAATTCATCTGTTCAAGGTTATTGTCACTGAGTTTGTAAGAGGTTTGTTTTTGTTGTTTTTTTTTTCATAAAACAATTACTGTGGATTTGCATTTTAGTTTTATCATGTACAAAGATGCTCTCAACAACTTTTGAAAATCATTTAGGTATTATGATTTGAACGAATGAAAATAAATGTTTTTCCTTTTCAGATGATCTGGTGGGAAATTAAGTGTGTTTTTTTTTCTGCACCATTTATATGTATTGTATCTGATGGTATATAAGTACCCAACTAAAAATGATTCCAATAATATATTTCCATTCTTTAAGGTATCTAGTGGGCTAATATTTACCCAGACTCCAGTGACTACAAATATATGACTTAACTCTACAATACTGTGATATTGGGTATAAATATAGGGTGTGGGGGTCTTATATGCTATCATATACAATACTTAAAATATATGCATATGAACACATGCATGCACATACACATGTTGAATTATACCTAATACAATCTTAAATCTATCATTATATCACCTTAAGAGGATCAGGAAACCAATCAGTCAAAACTTTAAATTACTTAAGACAAATTTACACTATTTACATTCAGACTAATATCTTCATTTTTGTTATTATTATCACAATGTTTCAATTGTTGTGCTCTCCAGCCTTCTTCAGGTGTCTGTTAATCTGGTTAACCTTCAAGGAATTTGGAAGTGAACCCTTTATTTAATCTACAGTGGTAGATTCTTCTTTTTTTAATGTTCATATCTATCTCTAGAGATATCTTGTCTTATTCTTTTTATTACTACTGTTATTACTCAAAATTCCTTGAAGCGACAGACCCCTAAAAAAGGCCAGAAGATACAAAGACCAAAAAATTGTGATTAATAACAACAAAGATGAAGACATTAATCCAAATGTAAATAATAACTGTGCATCACAGAAATTCAGACAAATGTTAATGTGATTTTTTAATGAATTCCAAACAGTGATTAAAAAGAAAACCCTTAATCTTTAAATTGACCCAGAATGATTGATTCCTGGTTTTGCCTAGACTAAGAGATAGAATTCTTTATATTTTAAGTAACTTGGATAATTTCACTTTCAGGTTTCTCAATTGATGTTTAGGTTTTTTACCAACTTGTTATGCAACAGAATCCAAAACTAACTGAGTTGGCATGGCTGGTATAGCTGATGATTATCAACTTAAAACACATGGACCTGTTCTTAGTGAAAATTGCAACAAGGCACCAATCTCAAAGAAAACAGGTACGGCTAAATTCTCAGAAAATTTTAGTCTAGGTGGCCAAGCATTCCTTCACCAAATTCCCCTGCTCTTTTCTTTCAGACTAATATAAACACCTTTTCTAAGTTACTGGCATGTCCTCTTCATGTTCTTTTACTATAACTACTTTTGTTTCAAGCCTGGAATTATAACTGACAAGACAGTGCTATAGTTTATTGAACTTCTATAAAGATTATGTGTGGAAACAAGATTGAATTTTGTTGTCATCTATATACCTTTCTACAGGGTTAAAGGAACACCTATAATAGAATCAAAAGCTTTGGCAGATATGTTTTGTTTGTACTATTCTCTTTGGATGTAAAGTGATTCCTTTATATTCAATACATTATATATATATATATATATATATATATATATATATATATATATATATATATATATATATATATATATGTGTGTGTGTGTGTGAAAAATATATAGAAAATAGGAAGGAACTGGTTAGGTAAATAATCCAAAGTCCCTTAGTATTTTAGTTATTATTTTTAAAAAATAGTGCTCAATACAAAAGTAGAGCATAAATATAATTATTTATTTAAAAATATGATTTCCAAATCGCTACATAAGAGGTCTCATGTTTAAAAACAAGATTCCAACAAAATTTGGAATTTTGTTGATTCCAACAAAATTTCGCTTGAAAGAAAATGGAGCCCATTTTACTCTTCAACTCAATTTAATTTAAAGGACTATATTTGGAATTTTTGTTTTCGCTCTTGTTTTGAAACATGAGACCTCTTATGTAGATTTATTTGGAATCATATTTTTAAATAAATAATTATATATATATATATATATATATACACTTCATAAATTCGATTTATAGTAAAAGTGACTAAATATAGAGTGCTCAATACAATTTTCAGAAACAAAAATCTATGGCAATTTAAGGTATAAAATATTGGAAACACTGATCTCTATCCTACTATGGTTTCTACCAGGTATATAAGATTAATACAAATATGAAATTTGTCACTTAGCGATTGAGATGTGTGCACTTAACTCATTTATAGGTTGGAAATGGAAGTGTAATCTGGAGTTTTTTCTTTCATTATCAAGGGTTCATTACTGTGATGAAAGTATGAATGTTTATTATATGTCAAATTTTTGGAGTCATGTAAGGTTTGATTGGGGGATTTTTGTCTGGCTACAATAGCTTTTTTTCATGGCAGGCTCTGTTGCTTTTATTACTATTTGTTAAAACTTACTGACTGATGTTCTAGTCTTTTTGGTGTTAATTTGTTTTTTTCGTTGATGGTTTCTTAAAGGGGTGCTTAGATATGATTGGGTTGTATCTTGATTTTATAGTTTTATACGTGTCTGAAATTTATTTAATTTGCTAATAGATTTTATAGGGTATTGTGTAATTATTTATATATGATATTGTGGAATTTTTTTTTTTTATCTATTTATAATTTACTAATTGTTTAAGATGTATATTTGGTGGTGTCTGCAAAAAAACTGTTATTTCTTTGTTTAATTTAATAAATTTTTGTTTTTTTAGAAACTTGATAATGTGTAGTTTTTCAAGTAGGTGTAAAGGGCATGTGTCATCCCAGGTTCTTCAAGTTTTTGTTCTATTTATTATTTTGCATTTTACTGTGGGTGTTTTATTTGTTTCTTTTAAATGCCAAAACTATTTAGATAGAGATGTTTGGTTTCAGTTTCTAATATTATTGAAGGAACTTTGGTGTTGTCTCCACCTCATTTTAAATTCATTTCTTGTGGATCCTATATATATCTTTTCCATATTTGGATTCTCAATGGATGAGATTGTGCATTGGTATACTATGGAATTTATGCAGCATTTTTTATTCAAAGGGCAATTTTTCAATTATTTTCCATTATTATTGTCCAATTTCATTTTAGGACCTTTATTTATTTGATCTTAGCATGTGTATTTTCTCAATATTTTATTATTATGTTTTTTTATAATCCTTTCTAAATTTTCAGTACAGCTGTAACTTAATCTTAGCAACATTTTTTATAAAAACACCCTAAGTTTACTGTTATTAGGAAAATGTTTTTCGATTAAAGCTAGGAATTTTTGTCCTAGCTTATTACTAACCTTTTGGTGTCTACCAAATGATTTTTCTCTTGGTTTGTACTGTTATTTTTTATATAATTGATGTTATGGCGTTTGTGGCCACTATTTTTTTAGAACTTGGTTTTAAATATTTCTGTGTTTATAGAATATTTCTTCATTTGTGGAATTTCCACTAATTCTTTTCTCAATTGATAAAGGTACGTGCTCAATTATAGAGGGGAAATAATTTGACTTGTGGTGTACATACAAAGGATTAGTATTGGGTTTTCTGTAAGGTAGGTATATGTTATGGTGAGGAAATTTACCATTTTCAATTTTGTGTTAACCCTAATTTTTAAATTTAGGTTTCTGAATTCTCTATATATTATTTTTCTAATTTGATCTATTTTAAAGTTATTAGATCTCCTGACTACCATAAGGCTATCATCTCTGTATATCCCGATGTCTTTAATATCTATTTCACTACTAAGCAAAATGTTATTAATCCTAATAACTACTCTAATAGCTTTGGTACAAGGCAACAGATGTGAGGATCAATATTACAACACTAAGATTAGCTTGTGATGGGACATGTTAACCTATATGCTATGCTTGTGGAATTTACAATATTCATAGATGAACTATGGTTGTATTTATTTTCTAAACTTAGCTTAGTCTGGTTGGAGGCTACAACTATGGAGCACACAATGGGGATCAGACTAAATACACAATAGTAATTAGCATCTACAGTGAGGCACTCTAATATTTACTAAGTTTAGATTAATACAGGACATGGCTACTAGTATATAGCACCCATTGAGGCTCAAACTACAGTGAAACTTGTTTGCTAACTACTGTGCCATAGTAATGCCCTTAATCCCTGTTGGTTTCAGTTGGATTTTTAAAGTTTTAATTTTCTTATTTGGTCTTTAAATGTTTGTAAATTTTTCTTCAATTCTTAATATTTTTTTGCTTCATTTACAGTCCTCTTTGCTTTTTTTTCTTTTTAAATTGTTTGATCTTGGTCACTTAAATGTTGGTTATTTACATATATAGCTTATTGCTAACACTTGTACTGAATTACTCCCACAAACTTGTATTAATATATTTTTAATAGAGTAACTGATCTTAAAGAAGTGACAAAATTATATTTGTTTCATAGAAAAAAAACCATTGAGAGAAAAGATTAATCTCCTAATTGCCATTTACTTCCTTTTCGGTACAATGGGTCAGGTAACAATGTGTCTACTCAATTCTTAAATTCCACATGTTTATTTGTGCAGAATAATTGAGCTTTAAATATAAATAGATTATAGTTAATGAAATGTTTTGAATCCTTTCAGGAATTTCTCATGAAAATAAAACCAGAAATAAAAATTAGAATCTAAAGGAGATAATTATTTATCAGAAAATGCAAAGAACCAGCCAGAAAATAATTGTCTGTCTTTTGTTTCTTCTTCTTTTTTTCTGTTGTTGGGTGTCCTTGGTTTACATTACATTTTTAAATGAAATTTGCATTAATTAGGGAAAAAAAAACTAATAAATAATATACACGTATATAAAAGTCTAATTCTGTCTGTCACAAGATTGCTTTCAATAACAACAAAAACCTTTAACAACAAATGTTAATTTAGTTTAAGACCTTAGAAGAAAGATAAATTGGAATAAGTAGGTTTTTTTATGCTTTTGTTGTTATTTTATAAGTTGTAGATTTAGTGAAGCTTTTGTTGACATGATTCAACCCAAGATTCAGTAAATTTTCAAAAAAAAATATAATTTTTTAACTGAGATATAACAAAATTAGGAGCAAAAATATGACAATTTTTTCAGAATTAGAATTGGTGACAGAATATGTTTTAAAAAAATATAATAAAATTTAATCAAGGGTCTGTTATATTAATAATACTTGGCATGTCAAGGAGATTTTTTTTTCTTATCAGCAATGATACATTTTTGGCACTCAGAAGCAGTGGTTAGGTCAAACTGTATATACATGAGCAAAAAAAGAAAAAAAATTACAGCATCCTGAAAATCAATGGAAATGTTGTCCAGGATAAAATATGCTAGGGGATAATAGATATTCTAGTAAAAAAAATTTTAAACTTTTAGCCATCTTATGATATAGTAACACTCATACTAGTGCACCATCTGCGTCTGAGCTTTAGATGATGACACATGCTGTGATAAGTTTCATTGCAGTGAAAGATTTAAGTGCGACCATTGTCATTCAAAGGAAATGCAAATATATGCCTTTTTAATGAGAGCCACTTTAGAGACATTGGATTGATTTTGGATGATCATTTCAAAGAATTACCATTCATGTTAGATGCGACACATTAGTGATGCTTTGACATTATCAACAATGGTAAAATGAACATTCTTTCAACCATAAATCAGGTTCTGTCTAGTCAAATAATAAAGATGCTCACCAAAATTGATTTATTATTGCATCATTAAGACTACTGACCAGACTCCTATATCATTATTCATGTCTCCAGTGATGTTGCAAGAGGGTTACCTGGTAGATCAAACAAGGTTTAGTGAAAAGAACATGTTCTGCTTTCATGCAAAATGATAGATATTTGCATGTATAATATAGACCTGAAGAGTGACATTTTCCAGAATATATTCATCCATGACACAAATGCCCATCCCCTGACATCATGATGTCAAATTTACAATTCTCATTCACCTTTGGTGTTTGTGGAAGAAACATTAAACAGCACCATGTATCCCCCAGAACAGATCAAAAGATATTTTCTTAAATCTTAAACTATGAGTTTTTCTTTAATTATTCTAGCTTCTGAGTTTATATCTGAAAATGCTAGTTAATATTTTTAACTTTTTACAAGCTTCCCTATTAAAGTCCAATAATAATTATAATTTCTAAGCCTAATATGAGTAAGCAACTGAATGCTGTTTTTTTTTTTTGTTTTTTTTTTA